TAAGAAACCCTAACCAACCCCGGGGGGGTCCCTACCTGCTAAACATACTCTCTATTGTTCTTCTTTTCCTTTCTCTAGAAGGGGGGGGGAGGTCCAAGTTTTTTTTTTATTTTTCTTTTCTTTAAGGTTTAATCACTTTGCCCGGCGCCGTGGCTCAATAGGCTAATCCTCTGCCTTGCGGTGCCAGCACACTGGGTTCTAGTCCCGGTCGGGGCGCCGGATTCTGTCCCGGTTGCCCCTCTTCCAGGCCAGCTCTCTGCTGTGGCCCGGGAGTGCAGTGGAGGATGGCCCAAGTGCTTGGGCCCTGCACCCGCATGGGAGACCAGGAGAAGCACCTGGCTTTTGGCTTTGGATCAGCGCTATGCGCCGGCCGCAGTGCGCCGGCTGCGGCAGCCATTGGAGGATGAACCAACGGCAAAAAAAAAAAAAAAAAAAGGAAGACCTTTCTCTCTCTCTCTCTCACTGTCCACTCTGCCTGTCAAAAAAAAAAAAAAAAAAGAGTTATTTATTTATTTGAAAGGCAAAATTACAGAGAGGCAGAGAGAGAGAGAGGTCTTCGATCCACTGGTTCATTCCCAGATGGCTGCAACAGCCAGGACTGCGCTGGTCCAAAGGCCGGAGCCAGGAACCTTCTCTGGGTCTCCCATGTGGATGTAGGGGCCCAAGGACTTGGGCCATCTTCTACTGCTTCCCCACGCCACAGCAGAGAGCTGGATCGGAAGTGGAGCAGCCAGGACTTGAACCGGCGCCCATATGGGATGCTGGCACTGCAGGCAGCGGCCTTATCCTCTATGCCACAGTGCTGGCCCCTACTTTCATGTTAACAGTGAAGCACAGCAACCCCATTTATACAAAGGTCTCCTAGGGGGAAGGGTGACATACTGCTAGGGTTTCTAGTAATGCCAAAACAGCCACGTCCCCTGTGACTCTCTTCTTCAGTGAGTATATTAGGGTTTCCAGCAACTTGACAGGTTTGGGGGTGGGCTTCAGTGAGTAAGCAGTACAGTTGGTATAAAGAAAGAACAAACTTTGGTCCCAGAAAACTTACTGGCCTAGTGACTTTGGGCAAATTACTTGACCTCTCTGAGTCTCACTGTCTTCATCTTTAAAATGAAACTTCCCTGGGAGCCAGCATTGTGTAGTAGGTAAAGCCATCGCCTGGGACACCCGCATTCCGTATGTGTGTCGGTTTGTGTCACAGCTGCTCTTCTTCTTCTTTTTTTTTTTGACAGGCAGAGTGGACAGTGAGAGAGAGACAGAGAGCAAGATCTTCCTTTTCCGTTGGTTCACCCCCTAAATGGCCGCTGCAGCCAGCATACTGTGGCCAGTGCACCCCGCTGATCCAAAGCCAGGAGCCAGGTGCTTCTCCTGGTCTCCCATGCGGGTGCAGGGCCTGCTAATGCTCCTGGGAAAGCAGCAGAGAGTGGCCCAAGTACTTGGGCTCCTGTCACCCACATGGGAAACCCAGACAAAGCTCCTGGCTCACTGCTTTTGCCTGGCCCAGCCCTGGCCATTGTGCCCATCTGGGGAATGAACCAGCAGATGGAAGCGTGCTCTCTCATTCTCCCTAACTCTGACTTTCAAATACATAAACAAATCTTTTAAAATGGAATTTCTCAGAGGACAACTCCTGGCTAAATAGGGCCCAGTGTGCCGGCCGCAGCGCGCCGGCCACGGCGGCCACTGGAGGGTGAACCAACGGCAAAGGAAGACCTTTCTCTCCGTCTCTCTCTCTCTCTCTCACTGTCCACTCTGCCTGTCAAAAAAAAAAAAAAAAAAAAAAAAAAAAAAAAAGAAGAAGAAGAAAAGAAAAAGATCTCTCTCCTCTCGCTCTCTCACCTGCCTTCTCTCCCCCACCACACCTCTCATCTGTTACCTGTTCTTCTTCCCATTATAAGCCCTCTCTGTATGGCCCTCTGCTTTAGCACCTCTGACAGTCACCTGGGTTCTTACCCCTAACTCTGGCTGTTCTGCCATCTCTCTCTCTCTCTCTCTTTCTCTCTCTCTCTCTAAAAAAAATAATAAAATAAAATAAATAAATAGGGCCCAGAGAGAGAGGCTTGGACTATAGCCCACTTTCTTTAGCCAAAGTCTTGGGGTGGCTTGACCCACACCTGGGACAGGAGCTTAGAACAAGGTACCAAAGACCCACCCCATGTGTCAGATGTACCACCACACCTGCCCAAGGAAGTAGAGTAACCCGAGGAGGCTCACCCTGGGGCTGTGATAACCAGGTCCCCAGAAAAGTTCCCCAGGAAATTCCTCACCCATGGTCCCCTTCCTCCAATAGGGGCCTCCAGAGCTCACAAGGCAGCCAAGGGTTTTTTGTATTTATTTTATTTTTTATTGTATTTTATTTTATTATTTTTTTTCATCTACTTGAAAGGCAGAAAGAAAAGGAGAGATCATCCACTCGCTGGTTCACTCCCTAAATGCCCACAACAACTAGGACTGAGCCAGTCCAAAGCCAAGAGCCTGGAACTCAATCCCAGTCTCCCACAAGGTTGGCAGGGGTCCAAGCACTTGGGGCATCATCTGCCGCCTTCCCAGGTGCATCAGTAGGAAGCTGGATTGGAAATGGAGCAGCTGGGCCTTGGACTGGTGCTCTGTTACAGGATGCCCATGTCACAAGCAGTGGCTTAACCTGCTGCATCACAACACCGGCCCCCTGGTTAGTTTTTTAAATTTCATTCTTCTGCCCCGGGAAGCCATGCAGGTTTGAGGTTTTCTAATGTGATGGGACTCACCCTTTATATCTTTGGAAAACAAATCAGACCTAGTGTGGTCTGAGTCTTGGGTCCAGACCACAAAGATGGCAACACCTGTTTTGTTGCTGGGCAACAGGCTGCAGGCCTGGAGGGCTCCTCTCTGCTTACTCCTTCCCTGAGACAGGCTCCCTGGAGGATGTGGGTCACCCAGTAGTGTCGGCCCTCTGTCCCCAGAGTCATACACATACCCTGCCCTCCCTCCACAGCCTTCCAGCCTCCCACTCAGCAGAGATCTCAGATCACATGGATGCATGGGGAGGTGACTGCCCCGGAGATGGCTTCCCAGGGCGGCAGGCTGGCCAGACTGTCAGGCTCCTGAAGTGTCAGAACACCGTCACCTTTGAGAGAACATTTGGGTCAACAGGAAAAAGAATAAGCAGGGTTA